AAAGGGCCCTGGGAGGGGGGGCCCACAGGGGGCCCGGGGGAAAAAAGGGCGCCCCCCCACCCCCCAGGGGGGGGAGAAAGGGGGGGGCCCTTGGGGCCAGAAAAAAGGGGCCCCAACCCAACCCCCCAAACCCTTTTCGGGCAAAAAGGGGGGAAAGGGGGGGGGGGGGGCGGCCCCCCTTTTCCCCGCCGCAGACCAAGGGAGGGGGGTAAGGGGTTTGGCCCGGGGGTTTCCCCCCGCCCCCTCCCTAGGAGAGGGGGGGCCCCCCCCCGGGGGCCGGGGGGGGGACCACCCGGGGACCCGGGGGGGCCCCTTTGGGGGGGTTTGTGCCCCCCCCCCCCCCCCCCCGGGGGGGGGTATAAAAAAAGGGGCGGGGGGGGGGGGGGGGGGGGGGGGGGTTGTTCCTGCGAAACAGGAGTAGGAATATGCGCCGAGCTTTTTTAAACAGCTTGTGGGTGTTTCACGCTAAATGTGTGCGGCTGTTGTTTGCGGGATTTGAAGAGTGGCCGTGGTTGCGCGAAACGTACTGTTCGGGGTGAAATTGGGTCGCCGCGCCTTGGAAGTCACGAGCGACAGTCAGACAGTCAGAGACACAGACAGAGCGAGAGAGGCAGAGAAAAAGAGAGGCAACGCGCGCTGGCGCAAGCTGCAGGTTCGTATGGCAAAGGTTGATGTCGTGCTGAATCTATGGAGCCTTTGACCTTGCCCCACCCCTCGGGGTTACAACTGCTGTTGCCGGCGGTCGACAGGGCTGTGCTATATGTTCGTGCACTGGGTCATTCGAATAATACACCCAACATGGATGCATCAGAGACGCCATGCCGGCCAGAGGACCGCAACAGAGAGGGCGTTACCGAGGCAGATACAGCAGTAGGTACGGCGAACAGCTATCGACGGCAGCACGTACTGTAACATGCGGCGCGAGTGCTTATTGTCCGAGCGTCGAAAGGTCAACACAGCAGTAGTATGTACTGTAGTTCAACCATGAGGGTGCATCAACCAACTGCCAACCGGAGCTGAAAATCAGTTCGGAGAGTCGAAGACACAAGGTGTCGTCCCAGAGGATGGCAAGCGCCCTTGATCCCGGAGCGCATGTTTATTTTGCGTCTAGCGCTGTCTCGAGACATCAACCTCCACACGCGACGGCGGCCTGATGCACCACAAAATACTCACAGGCACACGCTGCCATTTACGAGCCCGGTGGCCAGTACGTCCCGATGAGGGTGGAAGGCGAGCTCCAGAGCTTGTTCCGGGAGCTTAACGGCTTGCATGGTCTTCGTTTCCTCTTCATCGGCGTCCATCGTAGCTGCTGCTGTGGGTTGCTACTTTGTGCTTGATGGGGCGTACAGGCGCGGCGAGATTATCCGTCATCTACGAAAGGTTTCCATTCGATCTCCGACAAGCCGAATGCGGGGTAATTCGAACGAAAATCCCACCCCCCCAACCCCCAACATCAACACGAAACGAATCACGCAGCGGTTTTGTGCCTGCCACTCGCGATCAAACCGCACTATTAGTTCGTTTGAAGTACGTAGACCGAAGGAGGAAGGTGACCTGGCAAAGTGGAGGTGGGGGCATTGGGTGTCGAGCACTATTAATACAATCATCTCTACACTGTTTGTAGTACATACGAAAATCATGAGATTACTTCTTTATGTACATTACTACATGAATCTTCCATCTACATGTGCAGTACTTCGAAGTACTTGAGTGAGTACTGCAGGTGACTGTGGTAGACAACGCGAATAGCAATGCTCATGGCATCCTTGACGAAGTCGTAGCGGTGACCATTCGCACACATGCGTTCAACAGCCCGCAGTCGTGAGCGAACCTGTTGAGCATGCCGGGTGCTGCGAGGTTGCGTGCCACATCCAAAGATTGAAAGATTCGTTCCGAGATACCAATCTATTTTCAGATCATTTGTTTTGGTCCTTCCCCCATCTTCCTATCTTGAAACACGTACCACCTTGTACACGACCACTATTCCATCCATTCGGCATCGCCGACCACATAAATTATTGACACGCCCACCGTCCCCCCTACACTATCACGAATTCTAGCCATACTACGCGTCGACCTCGCCAACCGACGGTTGGTCTGCTGGAAAGTGCGCCAATGTAGAACTACACACGCATGCGTCTTCACAGCAGGTACCAAGAGAGAGTTCTCTCTAAGCTCCCTCATCCGCACGCCCCCCTGGCCAAAAAATGAACAAGATCAATCTTGCTATCTTCCTCGGCGGTGGTTTCGACAGGCTCCCTTCGGCACAACACACGGGAGAACTCGTGTGAAACGTCTGTGGGCCACTCACTTCTGCTCGCACAGATCCTACCGAACTTGCTTGCTGCAGCATGCGGAGGGCTAGAGAAACCAGGGGACGACTGACCCCCGCCCCCCTCCCCCCTTGCCGGCCGAAAACTAAACACTGCCTTACGCCACAGCTCCAGCCTACCCCATGAGCCTCTACAAGCACAGCAACACGCGGAGTGTGACTACTGCTGTCCATGAGAAACAGCATGGTGAATTTTCGAAGCATTCCGTAACCAACCGAAAACAAGAATAGGAGAAGAAAGAAAAAAGAAGGAAGAACCTACAACCAACAGCAGCAACGTGCGCGGGCGTTAACCTGAGCGAACGGATCGCCTGCTAGACCAGGTCCTCCCAAGCCAGAGAGACGAAGGGTGCTTCTACGTAGCGAAAAGGAAAAAGGCCCAGGCGCCCCCCTCCATAACCCCCCGCCGTAGGCAACAACGCGGCGTGAAACCAGGTGGAGAAAGTGTCCATGCCAACGAGGTCTCTACATTTGTAGCGGCCGCCGTGTCACACAAGAGATGCCGCCGTTTTGCGAACAGGAGAGTGGGGACAATGGGTTGGCTTTGCTTCGAACGCGGGGCCAGCCCAAGCGCCACACCAACACCCAAGCCAACGCCAAAGGAGAACGAGAGAAGGAGAAAGGAGAGAGAGAGAGAGAGAGAGAGAGAGAAGAGATAGATAGAGAGAGTAGTACAACCCCACCCCCCGTCCTCTTTCTACTCGATGCATTAAAAAATCCGTCACGATACCTCGCATCTCCTTCGCCCCTCCCCCCCGCGCCGCTCGTCCCACAGCCAATGAACAGTCTCATGAGGCAGGGCACGAGTAGGCCCGCCGGAGTGAAAAAGCCACACGCTTCGCAGAATCCAAGAGACCACAAAATCAAGCAGACGGGATGAAATGGAGCCCACGAGAAAAAAGCAACGGGCTCGTGACAACGACACAAAATACGAAAGACTTCCAACCCTGCCTTGCAAGAATCGCTCCCGTCTCCAAAAACGACGGGAATCGCCGCTTCTCTTCACCTAATATTTTCCACCCACGCCTTCCTCCCCCCACGGCCGGAGGGGGCTTCAGCACCGAAACCAACCCTGTTCCAAAAAGGTTTCGA